TATATATAGTCGGTGAAACTCCGACGAAACAGTTTGTCACAGCCCCTCGTTTGTTGTCCTCTTCTCCCTCTCTGCCTACGGTTTACCGGGCAGTTGTATATTCTATTTGACGATATATATATATATATGTGACGATATATATATATATTTTTGCTTATTATTTTTGCCTGGAAAAATCCGTGAAAAATGTGGTCGCCATGCGGCAGACCCCAGCCGCGGATGCAGCCCTCCGAGCCTGACCCCGCGGCCGCGGCCCGGGGCCATACATATCTCCTGGCCTGTTACACTGCATGTCAGACATTTTCCGAGTCAGTGCATGACAACCCAGATCCTGTCTAAAGGTTTAGTGGGACGTGGCCCACTTGCAGGCAGGCCTTCCTCTCCGGCGGCCAACACCTACACGGTCCCAGCCTTACATAATTTTTTTGTCGCCACAAGCAAAACTCGGAGGGCTGTGCCGTCGTGCCACCCGCACGGCGTGGGGTGCCGTTGAAAAAAAAATCAGTGGCCTCGGAAGTGATGCGGGTTACAAGCTGACACCCGCGGACCGATATGTGGTGTACTGGTTGTCTCAAGTTTGACCAGTGCTTCAAGGGGCTGGAAGAGATACTTTCCCCCAGGTTGGTGAATATCAGGAAGGAACATATGGGATCTAGATATTATCGCAATCTCACTGACAGGGTCTTTTCCAAGTTTTATGTGCACTGGCTGTAATTGCGGGCAGGTGCATCCTGGCAGGGTTGGGAAAGGGGTCATATACATCCAGTACTCCCTCAGATGGAAACATTGGAGGCTACGAACTGATAGACGCTATTAGTTTGTTCCCATCTGAGGGCATACTACTCGCACTATCACTTTGGAATTCCTAAATGTACCTGACTGCAATGACGACCGCACCTGGATGAATCGGATGGCGACCATGTCCACTGCACAGCTTAGTAGACAAAGTCCAAGATGGTGTTTGAATGCCCTGTGATTGGTTGACTACGTAGCTCACATAGTTCTTTCCCCCTACCATCACTGAGAATGAACGAGGACTCTTAAATATGTACAAAGTCAGAATCCTCAGTGGATGAGGACTCATATGTACTAAAACCCCATTGACAGAGCATGAGGACTCGTATGTACTAAGTCGGACTATGTAGACTATGACAATGAAATAGAATGAATGAGGACTCATATGTACTAAAACACTGTAGACAGTGAATGAGGACTCATATGTACTAAGTCAGACTATGTAGACAGTAGACTATGACTATGTAGATAGACTATGAACATAGTCATAGTCTCTGTACTAAGTCGGAGGCTTCATTCATACTATGTAGACTATGACTATGTAGACTATCATACTTGTAGACTGTGACGATGTAGACTATGTACTAAGTCAAAGGCTCCATTCATAGATGTATTACATAGTACATACATAGAATCTGATCTAGTATGTACTAAGTCAGACTATGTTCGAAGCCTGCTGCCTGTACGAAGTCAGCGGCTTTTCCATAGATGTACTAAGTCATGGACTGAGTCAGAGGCTCCACACACACCTGTACTAAGTCAGAGCCTCAGAGGCTTCATCCATAGACGTACTATGTCAGACTATGCACCGACTTCAGAGGCTCTTCGTACATAGATGTACTAAGTCATACTATTTACTGTGTACTAAGTCAGGGGCTTCATACATAGACGTACTTAGTCTAGTAAGTCAGATTAGTATGTACTAAGTCTGACATAGATGTACAAGTAGGTCAGATTATGTACTCAGTCAGACTTGGACTCTGTACTAAGTCAGAGGCTTCACACATACAATGTCAAATACTAAGTGAGACTCTTTGTCAAGTACTAAGTGAGACTCTTTGTCAAGTACTGAGTGAGACTCTTTCCGTTAGTACTCATGCTAATGCAGGCCAGAAGGAAGGACATGCGATGCCGGCCAGAAGGAAGGTCGCCTAGTGTCGCCAACTATTGGGATCCTTGCCCACTGCGAGTGAGGCAAGGCTTTGACGGCATAGCAAGTAATCATTATGGCGATAGTGGCCCCAATCAGTGGCAATCACGCCCCCCCCATAAATGTAAGTCCTGCTCGAGTGGGACAGTTAACACAACTTCACATTAATCTAATAGTTTAGGAAATTAGGATGGCAGTTCGTTGGTGGATGCCCATGATGGCCATCATGGTGCTTCATTGGTGGATGCCCATGGCGTCAGCCTAAGGTTTGATGACGCGACTCTCATGGGATCTAAGGGCACAAGGTAGTTTGACAGAGAGGGGCAGGACACAGCAGGTCTCACTGGGCCAGCAGGTCAGAGTGGGCTAAAGGCATCACTGGAACCATAGACGAGACGGGTTTCACCGACGCAGCATGTACTCATGGGAGAAAGGATTTGGAAGTCAGTAGCTCGATACCCAAGGCCGTTTTTTTTTTTTTCAACCAAAAAAAGAAATTTTCAACAGAGAGTGGGCAGTGAGAGCCTGAGAGGTAGGTCCCCTAATTTAATGCTTGATGATCCAATGATGGCGTTTGCCGCATTTCCGAGAAGAGGGTGAGAGGTCCAGTGTCAATGCTATATTTGGCAACAATGGCAAGCCTCACTTTCGAATCACATCGTCGTATACGATTCTATGTTTTCATCGAATTTCAAATTTAACACTTTTTTTTTCCTTTTCTTCTAACTCGGTAGAAAATGCATCAATTGGGGTTTCTGCTATCGGGGTTAACAAGCTTTGGCAACAATGGCAAGCAAGCTTGCAGCTATGCTTCAACTTGTTGTGGGTAGGTCAGCACAAGGCCACCAGTACCTTTCCCCGCTTGGAAAACAAAACCGCAACAGTGAACAAGGTGAACGCCTGGTCGGGGAGATATCATGGGAAAAAAAACAGATAAAGGAAGACATCCTCGCGCATGGAGAGAGAGAGAGAGAGAGAGAGAGAGAGAGAGAGAGAGAGAGAGAGAGAGAGAGAGAATGTCTCTGCCACTTTCAGGGAGAAGAATCATTCAATTCAAGAACATGCAGGTGGAGGGGGTGGGGGAGAAAGAGGGGGGAGGAGAGAGAGAGGGGGGAGGAGAGTCAGAGTCTCCCGGCAACCTGTGGTTCAAAATCTGTAGACTGAGAACGACTCGGAGTCTTCCATGATAATTTGATAAACACGAAAGATTGATTCGCATATTGCAGAATGACAAGTTGACAACCACGAACCGCGGGAACACAGAGAGAGAGACAGGTAGACAGGTCTCCCAGGCTCCCAGCGACCTGCGCGGAGCCCCCCAACAGATGGCATGGGGGCATGCCTGTGCCTAACAGATGCAGGAAAAGGCCCCCCCCCCCCAAGTTCCCCAACAGCCACTATCGCTTTTTTGGTTTCTTTTTTTTTTTTGTCCTCTTGTGTTTCTGTTTTTCTTTTTACCTGAAAAGCCACGGTCTCCTCTGCAGCTTGCGGAGTGGGGACATCCACAGCGTCGAGCAGCAACAACAAAGAAAACAGGATTCCACCTCCAGAACAGGGCGCAGAAGGCACTGCTGCTGCTATTGTTCGTTTTTATTTATAAATAAAAAAACACACAAACTTTAAGTCCAAAATACAGTAAAAGAATTGGGGGTGTTCCCCAACACATTCCACCCCCCCCTTCCCCCCCCCCCCCTCTTCCCCCCTCTACCCGGTTAAAATAGAAAAAAAGAAAACCGCTCCTGCTCACCTGCATCATGGTGGTCATGAAAAGGCCAGGAGGACCAATCATGATTTCGGTGAACGATGACCACCCCCCGCCACATGAACGGGGGTACAATACTGATACTGGTACACAGCCCCAGCCTTGATGGAAGGCATGTCACACTCTTGGTGATCGCCGATCCGTGAGTCGATAACTGGCCCTCATTAAAAAACAACAACAACAACAACAACAACAACAACAACAACAACAACAACACTGGCCCTGAAATACGCCCCCCCCCCATCCATGAACAGGGGTACAACACTTTCACTGGTGAAAAAAGTGCGCTCAGGAAAAGCTTGGTGCGCAGTAAGGCACCTCCAGGCCCTGGTGTACTACCGTCTTCCCCCGAACATAACGCACCCTAAAAATGAATGTATACAGGCTATATTTCCGGTCAGATGCGGCCAAAATAAGGGTGCATTATGTTCGGGGGAAGACGGTAGTGGTCTAAACCACGAGTACATGGCCCAGCTTCCTTTTTTTTTTTTGTTTTTTTTTCATTTTTTCGTAGTCCTCGTAACCCGTCCAATTTTTTATTTATTTATTTATTTATTTATTTTTTATATTTAGGAAGATCGAAATTTATTAACAATCAATGCATGAGTCGAGGCCGGGGACCCCACAAATCAAACCGGAGTTATCCCGGCAGCATCAGCCGGTTTAGCTTAAAAAGTCTTATTGGTAATCCAACAGCACCAAGGACTAACTAAACTGAGCATTAAAAAAACTAGTCTATCCTCATTACGCCTTGGACCAGGCCAAGCTTTCTTAACAAAACTTGTACGTTGGTAAAGCTTAGAGTTGGGCCAAGTCCTGTGTGCGGACGGCCTCTGTTGCCACCCATCCAAACAACTACAGGGTGACTATCTGAGTGGCAAGGGAGGGGAATGAGACTGGGGGGAGGTCAGATTGGTAAGATCAGAACAAGAAAGAGTATGGGGTGAGATAGTGAGAAGAAGACGGTATGGTTGAGGGGGAGATCCTAACTATGGGAGGGGACTCTAATCTAGCCCAGGCCTACTTCGGCCTGACCTCGGGCTAATTCGCTCGAGAGGAACACTGTTCCTATACCTACAACCTGGGTACTCTCCTCCCAACCCTACCCAGTGCAGCCTACTGTGGCTGCCGACAGGAACCGAGTGCCCTGGTTCACAGGAAGAGGACCGGGAATGCGAGGCAGTACTACTAAACAGGGAAGGGGGATAAAGGAGGAAGAAAAAGGTGGGAGGTTATGTCACCGGGGCTTCATGCCCACAGCCAGGGGGAAATCACCAGCTTGCCCGTATGAGTAACAGCAGCAAGTTTGTTGTCCCTGGCCCAAGTAACTAGAAACCAATGCCTGCCTCTCTTGGATTGGCCGCCTGCTGCCTTCCTATTCCAGTCGACCCGAGTCATTGCTCTGATCCAGGCCTTGATTCTTGCAATCAGGCTTGCATCGTCCGACCATTGCTGCTTGAAGAGAATGCTGTTGCGGTCCTCCCATATGGTCCAGATGAGAATGGATCTGATGGCTTGCGCGACGTAGCCCCTTCCTATGTGCTTGAACCACGTACTGGGAAGCTTACCAAAGAGCGCCCAATCCACGTCCCAGGGAAGAAGGTCCCCTACAAACTGTAGCCAGTGACGCTCCCACCACTGCCATAGACGTTTTGAAGCTGGGCAGGCCCAGAACAAATGCACGAGTGTCTCTTCCTCTTTACTATCGCATCGCTTACAGAGGGTATCAATGTCCATGCCCCTTTCAAAAAGGCAAACTGATGTAGGAACTGCCGCATGGGAGAGAAGCCAGAGTAAGCCAGAGAGCTTTTGAGAGGGCAGTGCTGGGAGCTGGTCCCACAGCATACGGAGCTCCTGTTCCGTTATCTGTCGTTCCAGTAGTTGTTGCCTATTCAAGCAATAAGCAACTGTGGCTGGAAACCGCGCATCCTCTGTGAACAGTGTTCTACCAAGTTTCGTGGAAAATTGGTGTAGGAATAGTCGGCTTCCCGCTGTTGGTTCCCAGTAGCAGCCCTGTGGGTCGACCCGAAGGCGTCTCAATGGAGTCCCATCAGCAATCAGATCATGCACAGTCACCCCCCCCTTTATACATGTATGAATTCGTATGCTCTGGAGGTTCACGGGGGTCCGGATGGCAATGGTACCTTCAAGGCGCAGTCCGGGAGGCTGGGTATATGTGTCTTCTCTACTCCACTCCTGAGCCTCCCACGTCTCGTCGTCCAGCTGATCCATTATCCGCACAATAGAAGGGGAGTTCCCCTCAACTTGATGCAGGTACCATTCGCCTTCAGTGGGGGCCTCGATCGCTAACAGCTCCTGCCAATGCTTCGGGATAGCTGAGATCAGCTGCTGTCTTCTTGCTGCAATGTGAGGTAGGCCTCTAAGCTTCAATTTGAGGTCACCCACCGACCGCCAACACTTCTCCCCTTCATCCCATAAGTCTTCTATTCTTGTCACACTTCTCTCCGTCCATCTTCTACTGAAGGCACCTGGTGCCGCCGTTGCTGCAAACCGGTCGCCCTGGGGAGCTCTGATCTCCGAATTATCAAACAAAATTTGTCTAAGCACCTCATCCCTGGTGGTCGGTTGTTTCATGTGAGGAGGTATCAGGACTCTCCAGGCTGTCCAGCAGGCTCCAGCCAGGTGGGATTGCAGCTGTCGGCGGCGAAATGAATCCATGAAAATGGTGGCCCAGACATCCTCTTTCCTTGCGAGCGAGAGGTCGTGTTGCAGTAGATATTCAAGGACAAGTTGCCAGGTTCTACACTCGGCCTGAGTCACTGCCTTCTGTAGCCATTTAGTTAACAGGGCCAAATTCTGCTTGTAGGGATCAATGATGCCTAGCCCCCCTTGACTTTTCCGGGCCGTTACCTTGTGCCAGACACATTTAGAGATGACCCGTTGATCTTCCTGGGCTGCCGGCTTCCACAGGTACCGCGCAGCATCCGAAGCGATGAGCTTGGCTGTTGGTTTATTCAGGAGGCAAACGGCTGCTATGTGCCACAACTGCGCAAAGACTGCCGAGGTTAGCAACAGGGCTCTGCCCACCAGTGAGATTCCAACCGCCACCCTGCACTTCTGGATGCTAGCCCTCGTTTTAGCACGGAGGATCGACTGCTGCTTCGGCCGTGCATTGGTCAATGATACTTGCAGACCCAGGTACCTTTCCGAGGTCTCGGTTGGAACCCGCTGCATGCCCCAGTCGGCTTCTGGCGTTTCGTAGTCTGCTGGCAGGAAGTAAATGGATTTCCCCCAGTTGACTTGGGCTTCCGATAGCTTCACATAACTGTCCAACAAACTCTTGGCTTCTTGCATTGACTCGGTTGTTGCTTCCATCGTAAGCAATAGGTCATCAGCGATCGCTCCGGTCAACATATAGTCACCGCCCCCGAGGTCCAAGCCACGAATACGTACGAATACGTGGGGAGGATCGGTAGGCATTGAGAAGGACCTCCATTTGCAATGCGAACAGGAGAGATGCGAGGGGACAGCCTTGCCTGAGGGACCGTGTTAAAGAAAACGTTTGGGACAAGAACCCATTGATGTTGACTGTCGCTGTGGCCCCAGTGTAAAGTTCCCGCACCCAATGTCTGTACATAGGCCCAAATCCCATGTGCTCCAGCGTAGCCAGGATGAAGGACCAGTTCACACGGTCATAAGCTTTTTCCAGGTCCAGCATTGCGACCAAAACTTGTCTATTCTCCCTCTGTATTATCTCTAGCGCTCCGACTGCCATGAGCATGTTCTCTGCAATGGATCTCCCCTGAACGAATGCGCCTTGGTCTACATGAACCAGCGATGGAAGATGCGGTGCAAGTCTTCTGGCAAGGAGGTTGACAAGTATCTTGTATGACACGTTCAGGCGTGATATGGGCCGCCAGTTCCGAATGTTGCACTTATCTCCTTTCTTGTAAGTCAAGGTTAAGATGCCCAACTTCATGTCGTCGGTGAGGGTGTTGCCTTGCACCAGTTGGTTGTAGCAGTTCAACAAGATTGGTCCGGTGTGTTCCCAAGTAGCTTCATAGAATTCAATCGGAAGACCATCAGATCCGGGGCTCTTTCCCCTGGCCATACACTTGATTGTTTGCCACAACTCCTCCAAGGTGAATGGTGCCTCCAGTTGCCTGCTGACCTCCGTTGGGAGTGCTGCTGTTGTGTGCCGCCATAAATCGTTTTCCTCTCTTAGCTGCTGCAGCGGGATGTCAGGTGGCCTTCTTGAAGTAAGAATGTCCTTAAAATAGGCAAGTGCGTACTCGCCTATTGCAGCAGAGTCCTCGACTGTAGGGGCCTCCTGGTAGAAGGGGTGGTGCAATTCCCTCATAAGACTATGGGGATTTGGCGGATGGATTCACTTGAAGGTGTCCTTTGACATGCGATCGCCTGTCATCATGCCCCGCTCTTGCGCTCTGGTGGCCCACAACACTTGCTGCTGAATCTGGATGGCTTCTAGACCTTGGAGAGCGCGGTCTCTTTGATGCTGCCAATAGAGCTCTGTGAGGGGATTTTTGTCCAGCTCCGCTTCTGCTTCAGCAATAATAGATCTGTATTTTTCCTCCTCCTGTCTCCTGCCCCTGGCTTTGATCCTGGAGAAAACATCCAGAGCTCATGTAACAATCCGAAAACCAGTTTGCAACCATTCCTCCTCCGAGGCAAATCCGTCCTTCTCTTTTTGCCAACTATTCCAGTGCCCTTCCACCCATTGCAGCACGTTGGGGTCTTTGAGTAGCTCCGTGTTCAGCCGAAACGTACCTGGGCCCCTCAACAAATGCCTTGCCAATCTGAAGCAGGCCATCACCGGTCGATGATCGGACATAGACTCAATTGATTGCTCCACCCCCGTGAGTGCGTCCCAGGGCGCACCTACTGCTAGAATCAGATCCAGCCTTCGCCTTGGAGATTGGCGATCTGCAACAATCTGGGACGAGAACCAGGTATAACCTGGTTCCCCCGGATGGGTAGTCCAGAATGTGTCAACTAGACTGCGGCCAGCCATGAAGTTAGAGAGCATTAAGGCATCAGTCTTCCTGGGGGTGACCTCTTGAGAGTCGAAACCTGGTGTGAGCACCACATTAAAGTCTCCGGCGAGGAGAAGGTTGTCCGCTGCTGGGACCAATGTTGGGAGTTCTTCTAAAAAAGCTCGTCGCTCCCTTGGCTCTGAAGGCGCATAAGCCGACATCAACACCCACTCTTCTGCGTCTTGGTCCAAAATCTCAAGTTCTAGATTGCGATGGAAAAGAATGGCGCAACCTCCTTTGGTCCCGTCAGCGGGAGACCAAAGTTGTGGGCCTCGCCACCAAGTGCCCAATTGAGTGATTTTTAATTCATCCAATTTGATCTCTAGCAGCAAAAGAACTTGCACCCTTTGATCATGCATCCATGTCTTCAGGCGGGCCTTCTTGTGCTTACCCGAAGTGTCACCCAGTCCTCTCACGTTCCATGTTGCCAACCGGAGACTAGACATTGACTGCATCGGAGGCGGCACAGTGTTGGATCCGCCGATTATCTTCCTCTTGTTGTCTGGGTGTCCTCCGTCTGGAGCTGTCCGTTTCTGCTGGGCTGGTCCAGGGTGCTAGGAGAAGATTCCGAAAGCCGGTCGAGTGTGGCTGTTTGTCAGCTGCCAAGGAGACACAGTATTCGGCGACCAGCTTGGCATTGACATCGTCTATCAAAAAGGTCTCCTGCAGCTCCTCAATTGCCGTGGTAGCCAGCCACGTGGAGGGGAGCCAAACCACCCCTTGGGTGGCTAGCAACGCCGCTGTGTCCAAGCTGATTCTCACATCTAGCACTCCAATAGAGAAGTGCCAGTTACCGCCGGCCGCTGCTGGAACCGTCTTCCTCCCAATACGAATACCAGGGACCAATCTGTATGGGAAACGGTCGACAATAAAGGTACTGACCACAACTTTTATTGCCTCCTTTGTTGTGGGAGATGAGCTCACCGCAACTGTGGGAATCGCCAGCACACCTCGCTTGTTCCTTCTGGCCATAAATTTGGAACCTTACGGAGTCATCATAAAGCATAACAGGACGAGCTGATGTCGCACTGCGTTCGCCAGAGGTCTGCTGCTAGATGGCTGAGCAGCCAGGTCCTTATTGGCCGGCTGTAGGGCAGGTAACTGACCCCCCAAGGCCAAGGTCTGCATCTGCGGGTTGCTCGTAGGGACTGCAAAAAAGTCCAATTCGCCCTCCTCCTCTTCCTGCGTTGCACATCCCGCTCCGTCTTCATTGATGCGGCATTGCTTCATCGGAGTGAGTCTTGACTGTCTTGCGTCCCTCATAACTGCATCTGCTGCTGCCGTTCCGCTGCCTATCGGCTCAGACCGTTCCCCTGTGACGCCTGTGGGTACGTGGAGGGCCACCTGAGTGGAGGCCAGCTCAGTGGAGACTGGCATTACGGAGGTAGAGTGGTGGTGGGGGGTTTCGAGAGGGTTGTGGGGCATAGGCTGGATTGTGATGTGTGGTAACATAATGGCGAGGGATACTGGGGCCTGTACTTATGGCTGTCGTGATAGCGAGTGGGGCGGCGGTATGTGTTATAGTTGGTAGACCCGGGTAGTGCGATGGGACAGTCTGCAATGATTGGGAGAAGTGTGGCTGAGGGGGCTGTGGGTGGGAACTGTGGAGAGGGGTTTCAAGCTGAAGTGGGGGGGGAGGCGGTGGTCTAACCAAGGATATGTGGGGGGGGGAGCGAGTGAAAGTCGAGCCCTGGTAGTAAACTGCAGAGGGAATGTGGCTGGTTGGGGGTATGTGCTGGGAAGGGCCTGGTTGGGCCCAAGTGCCAAGGCTGTGGTTGGATGCCGTGGGAGCAAAAGAGCCCAGGCGCAGCGGATGAACAAGGTTTTGCTGGTGTGGCGCTGCACGGTGGTGATAAGGAACCATTACACCCTGCTGGGTCGGCGGTTCTGACATGCACGGAATCTCAAGAATGTGGGAGGAATTGTGCAAAGGTTGAGCTGAGGCGGCTGCAGACCGCAGCAGCCCAGATACTTGCCGAGGGTTGTGAAGAATTGGCTGAAGAGGGACTGGTTGATAAGATGGGATGGGTGGATGCTGTTGCGGTGCTGGGGATTGGCCCATCGGTCCGTGAGGCTACCTGGCATTGGCCTACCGCGGTTGGGGGCGGGGGCAACCCCGTCCTCCTGTCTGGCCTCTACCTCGGCCTCTACCCCGGGTACGTCTCCCTGCTGGCATCGGCTCCTGAAAACGAGGGCAGTCTGGGTCAAATTCGTCATGGTACCACCATAGGCACTTCTGACAAAAAGGCGTGTCTTGGTTTGCAAACGGAATTTGCATTGCCTGCCCGTTCGGTCGCCTGATTACGAACCATTCCTGGAATGTGTCTCTGACCACCGGGTCACAGTCAATTTTGACATTACCCAGGCGAGGCTCATCCTCCTTCCTATCCGGGGGGTGCATGTGTACGATAGGGCCCATTAGATTTTGGATCGCATATCGGAGGGAGAAAAGAGCTCCGAGTGGTACCCGGAGAGCAATAATGCAGTACTTGGCGGCTGATTCTGTTTGTCTCAGCGAGTTCCTGTTGAGTCATCCAGGGGCAAAAAGTAACACGGATGGGGCCGTCCCTAGATGGGATAAAATCTTGGCCCTTAATCAACATCCATTGTGCAATCCTCTGAGTACGTGCAACATACGACATTACATTAGGGCCCTCTCGGTGAGTGCGACCCCGTCTCTGCGAGGGGTTGAAATTAGGGTCCTGATACCATGCATCCTCAAAAATTCGGAAACTGTTCCCTCTGTGCTAAGGAAAGGCTTGCTGCGCGTGTGTCAAAAATGACAATGACCGTTCGTGCCTTTAGCCAGTTCACAGTAGCGGTATCTACCTCTTCATTGAGGTTGAGATAGCCGACTCCATCAACTATCTCGACATCCCATGCGAGAAGGTAGCTTCAGGGAAGATGCCATCGTCATAGCGCGAATCCAACAAAGTGTGGATTCGAGTTATGTCTGCGGGAGCCATCCCTTGTGCCTGAGCTGTGGCTTGGTTGGGTTGCGGTGCAGTCTGCGGGCCCCGCGTAGGGGGGATGGGTGCATACATCTGGGGAGATCGGGGTGAAGCATTAATGAGGACCGGGGTAGGCCTGTGGGGTGGGGAGGGGAGTATATGAAGAGTTGAGGTTGGACCAGGGATTGGGGGGGGGGAGAAGATATATAAGGAATAGGTTGGGATCGGGGGTAGGGTTGATATGGGTGGCGGGGGGGGACGGTAGTTAACTCAAGTTTAAGGGGGTTACAAAAACGACTGTTGAAAGTGGAGGGGTGCAGGGGGCAGGAGAGAATTTAGGTCTGGGTTAGGGCTTGGGCACTGCTAAAGGATTCGAGGTCGGGACTAAGGGGGCCAAGTCGGGATTGGGACCGGGTAATCGCCACGCAAGGGGGAGACGGTAGGACAAGGGATCACTGGTGTTTAGGATCGTAACCGAATACTGGTGGATGGGGTAGAGGTGAAGGTCAAGGCGGGAGTGGTAAAGTCATGGAGAACATGGTAGGGAAGGATGAAAGAAGGAGAGAAGGGGCGGTGCAAATTGGGCAGGAAGATGGGCGGGGAGGTTATGCATGGGAATTTGGATGGAATCGGAAACTGTGGCTAATGGAGGCGACAACAGGAGCTCTATGTTGGGGATCAAGTCCGGTGATATTGGTCGGGATAGGGGTCGCACTCAACTGGCAAGCGTGGCCCAAGTCACAGGGGGTAGTTTGTGTCAGGATGAGGACCGAAATGCTTGGAGGGCAAGAAGAGGACTGGAGGGGATGATGGGTGGGGTCAAGAGAGGGGTGTAGACTAGTTGGATGGGGGGGTAGCATGAAGGTGGGGGCTGGATATGCGAGATTACCTATGTAGCCACTCAGGTGGCCTTTCCCCAAGCTTCCAGGCGTCAGAGGCTGTTTGCTGTAGCATCCCTGACAACGGAGTCTAGGTAGGCCGAGGCGCACTGTGGTCCCTCAAGAACAGGGCGTCGAACGCCTGTCCGAATCCCCATAGGTACCTGCCAAGTCGCCTCCATGTCCCCCCTACTACCTGGGTAGTGGGTTGACTCAGCCTTGGTGCTGAGTGGGATGGTTGGCGATGGCCACTATACTCGACTTCGTGCCGAGGTCATGGCTGGCAGGGCCGGTCCTCCTGAACCGACGGGTTGTAGCGGCCCGCACCGGTCGTTCGCCTCTCCCTCCAACCCGTCCAAAAATTTCACACCTTTGGCCTACCGCCGTTACCGGACCTAGGCTGGAATAGCTACCTTCTTCCCCCTAATACAACGTGCGGTCATTATAGCTGTATCTAGACTGAAAGATGCCTCAAATACCGCTATAATGGAATAGC